CTGCTGCCACTTGTGATGACCTTAAACAAATCCATTGAAAGACTTTCTCGACTTTATTTCCCTCCTCTTTGAAAGGAGCTTATTGAGCTAGATTATCTCTAAGGTCTATTCTAATTCCCAAGCCCTACATACGAAATTAGTAATAGAATCACCATATGATTAATGACATTGTTCTTTAGAATTTTTTTTCAGGTTGGCCCTGCCCATGGTCCTGCTGTTGGCTTGTTATTCCGACGCCAGTGCTAGTGTCAGATGCCATAGGTGAATGCTGTAAATGAGGACTGTCTTTATTTGGGTGTGAGCAAATGCAGATTTAAGATATGTTTAACTTTCAAGGCATTGGTAAAGAATCTCATTTAGCAGAATGTATTTTTTTCTCTCTATGATCTCTATCAAACATTCTTTAAACAGGAGTTGGGTCTATCTAAAATCGCCCACTCTAATGAAATTAGTTTGTGGGTTGTTTAGGTTTTGTTTTGTTTTTCCCAAGGAGCAGAAGGTGCAGATAAGAGACGAAATAAAATTGCACCAGCTTATTGGTTTACTTTAATTGGAGTATTTTTGCTTAAAGGGATTATCTGTCATTACTAATGCAAATGGAAATCCTGTTTACAAACCCCTAAAATGCAATGCAGTGCTGGAAAGTGGTCAGCATCAAAAGCAATTAGTGTGACAAAAAAATGCATCAGTCTGGAGAAACAGAGGACAAAGCTTCCTATAGTTTATGTGAGTTCACATTCTTCTTAATTTCTTTTGCCTTGGTCAAACCAATGTCTACTCAGTTTATATTTTTAATTGTGATGTTAAAAATCTAGTTCCTTAGACAAATCTCCGGGGGGAATGTCTTTAACCCTGATGTGAGTGTATATTTTCTGTCCCTTCTAAAGGTATCAGAGAGGAGAGCTGATTCCAGAATTAAGATTACAGCCCCATTCCACAGTGATAGGGAAAGCAATGTGGATGATGGAAAGAGGATAAGTGGGCCTTGGAGCCAGAGAGTCCAGGGTTTGAATCCTGGCCCTGACATTTATTGGCTCTGTTAACTCATACCAGTTATTCCATCTGCATCCTTTGGCCTTGGTTTCCTCATCTGTGGAACAAGGATTGATAATACCTATCTTTTCAAAGACTAATTATGAAGAAGCGCTCAACAAATGTTAGTCCTTTTCTTCTTGTCCACCCACATCCCAAACCATTCCATGTCAGTTATTAGAATTTCAGAAATTCAGATTAATTAACAGTTTCTCCTCAAAGATCCTACAAAGTTTGGGGCATTTTTGAATATCTTTAAAGGATATATAATTCTTTATTATACAAATGAAATATATGATGAACCCAGTATTTTACATATTCATCATGTCTTTGAGAGTAACATCAAACTGCAATTTATAGTATATCTTCAAAGTGGCTGTAACGATTTCAGAGTTGTCATGGACAGAAACCAAATAGAGCAGCTTTTCGAAGTAAAGCCACAAGAACTTATGTTATGCATTAATGGAGAAGCGGGGAAAAGCATTGAATAAACAAGCATTTCTGATGGTTTAATCGGTGGGCTAGGGATAGCATTTTCTTCTTTCTGTGATGAAATCAAAATTGCCTATCAGTTTGAACCATGCAAATTGCTGCACGCAGGCTCAGCTGAGCTCTCCAAAATGGAACAGCTTATTTTGATAACCAAATAAATTTCAAACAGTTGCTAAGGAAACTAAAGACTTCTTTGTGCAAGTTATTGCATTGAAAAAGAATCAAAAAGGTGGAGGGAGGGGGAGAATGTTGGTTGATTAGAAATTTAGAACCTATGTGGATAAATCTCAGTTCAGGAAAATAAAGATGATGATTTGGGAAGTGAATGGAATTTCAGTTCTTCCAAATCTCCCTTATTTGACTGAGCTATCCAGTCATTTCAGCAGTTTGTGGAGAAATGTCTTTTATAGGCATGCTTGCATATTTCCACAGCATTGCTATAGGATTCCGGAATCTGTATATCTTTCAAAGAAAAGGACTGTTACCATTAGAATCTGCCTTGTGAAACCTAATTGTGCTGTTGGGGGTCCCTGATTCTGAATTAAGCTCTTTGTGCTGTTTGTTAAGCCTCTGGGACACCCACTGATTGTATAGTGTCCTTGTGAATGTCTTGATATGCTGACTGTTTCCCTTTAGCTATGGGTCCTGTCTGTGGGTCCTAGTTCATAAAAATTGCCAATTTTTGTTTCCCAGGATGACGGAGTTCTTCAGTGGGCCTTGATAGTTAGCCTGCCAGGACTGTGAATTAAATTGTACCCTCGCTCTTAAAGAGGGTCAGTGCACTCAGCCACCATGGAGAATGTCTTTGAAGAGTTTTAATTAATCAGTTATCAATCTGATGTTCTAACAAGCCATATTCTAGTTAGTAAAGAGGAGCCCCAAATGGTTCATTTCTAAATGGTTTCTTAAGCATTCTGAGCCTCAGTGTATACATCTTAATAGTGTGAGGATTAACAGAACCGACATATGTAAAGGTGCCCAGCATGTAGTTAGAGCTTAATAAATGAAAGGTAATGCTACTATTATTACTACCACCTCTACCTTTGTTACTGTTACTACTACTAATATTTATTATTATTCTAGAATACAGGTAGGGATGAAAAGAATTACATACACAGGACTTTTCCAACTGCCTCTACCCTCTACCTCTCTTATTACTCCGCCACTGGTGGGTCTTGCTATGTAGTAGGATATTTTCTATCCTAGTGCTCACCTCTCGGTGCTCAGAATTAAGAACAAAGAGTCTTAGGTTATAAGATCTGGAAAGAGGAAGGCAGTAAGAGTTTTTAAAAGACAGGAAAGGGTGAGGGTGGTTTCACCCTGCACAACCCTTAGCCCTGCCAGGCTCACGGCTGTTTCCCGTCAGGCAGGGGTAGGGCCTGGTGGGCTGTAGGTCCTTCCTCCCAGAAGCCCCCGTCTCACCCCTCTGGTTAGTCCATGTGGGGATCACTAGGGACACATGATAATTAAGTCCCCAGATGAGGATGCTCTTTCTCCTCTCAAACATTGCCTTTAGGCTGGTCCCTGGTCCCTTCCCAAAGGATCTGGACAGGATGACTTCTGGTACAAAGGTCACTTTTGAACCTAAGCTCCAGAGTGGCCCTTGCAGACTCAGCCAAGAAAGTCAAGGTCCTGGTGGGGGGTGTGCGCTGAACAGAATTTACTATTTTTGTATCATTGTATATGCACCGGAGACAATTTTTTCCTCTCCCATTTTGGCCAGCTTTGGCGAAATGCTAGAGTGCTAGAGAAGAATATTCCCTTTTGCCACTCCTCTGGGGCAAGAGCCAGCTTATTTATGCCTCTGGGACCTGCAGACCTCTGGCGAGTCTCTGGGCTCGGCCCCTGACCTGTGAGGCTACAGAACCTAGCTGATACAATAGCTGTCTCCTAAAAGCACGCTCGCTGGAGGGGAAATGAACTGTGCAGGGTTCTCCAGCAGCACGCCAAGATGTGGGAGAAGTTTTCATTATTCATTCTCAGACATAGGAATTGTTTGAATGCAGACAATTCTCAAATCCCATTACCTCTGACTCCCACCTACTCACAGAGGAAATGAGTCCTTGGAATTAGCTGTCTCGGGCTTATTTCTTTGTGGTTTCTAGAAGCAAAAAGCTTAGAACTCACCCTGCTTTTGTTTCATACTCTCTCCTAGTTCTGCCTCCCTAGCAGAATTACGAACTGAAGGGTACACTATTTTCTACCTGGACTGCAAAAGGATTGTGGTATTGGGAACCCAAAAATCAGATAAGGAAGAATGTGAAAGTAATTTTCTTCCACCTTAATGCTTTGTGAATTTGGCTTCTGTCTTTGAACTTTGAACCACAGTGCATGTGTCTACATTTTCAAGGTAAAAGTCTGGGACACATTCCTTCCGTAAAGGAATTAAATGCAAGCTCTTTCCCATGCTAATGACAAAATACTGGTGGTACTTTTATAGAGAGCGTGCATGTTAACTTTTTTGTTGTTGGCATATTTTTAATTAAAATAACATTTAATGGTTCAAAGCTAAAAACCTGATGTTTCTGCCTAGAAGTTTATAAGGGAGTGGTAACATATGGAGAAGTTTAACATTTAAATTGAATTTTATTATTTAAAACAGTAAAATATTTTATGACTGCAACAGTGCCCTGCCAGGCTCCATTTCAGCATCAAATGTGCTCTGTAAGGAATCTTACAAAGCTAGGGAAAAAAGACAAATGTCTTATTCCCCAAATGCTTTTTATAAAAAGTTCCCACAAACGTGTTTTCTTTGCAAACGGATTCTTGGTCTCTAGAAAGTGTCTCTTCCAACATCTCTAACAACACAACAAACCCTGGAACTGAGATACCCAGGGGATGCTTTCTAATGACAAATAAGTTGTAGTCTGTTGACTTGATTTTGGCTTGTCAACGTCCCAAGACTGGTCTTCTAATGTCCCCGTGTCTCTTGCCCCCTCCCAATTCCTCAGAAGGCTGATGTCTGGCAGGAAGTTTGGGTTTATATTTTTCACATATGAGTGTGTTCAGTTACTTAATAGAGGAAGTTTGATAAGCAGCCTTCCTTCCTGGTCCAGAAACCTGTCACTCTCCTGACTAGTGACAGAAATGGGCACAAGACCTTACTCGTGACCACCCCTGACTCCAGCAACATGCAGGGTTGGGGGTCTGGGTTGAATTTCTAAGTATGTCATAAGCTTTCTGCCTGAACTTGAGCAATCCCTTTAACTTTACCCACTTTAGCACAAGAAGGATATTCAGAGCCCTCCAAGACAAAGAAGGATTTTTCAGAAATGATCATCCCTTCAAACATATCCTCTTCCTTATCTTCCCCAACCCTACCCCTGCTCCAATACGAACCCTCATCCATATGTCTTAGCCTCAGAATCTGGCTTCCAATTATACATAGACTAGTGAACTTGTAAAATACCTTACGCCACGCAGGTCTTTCTTCCCGCTGCTGGGGGAACCATCCTGAGTTGGAAATTTAGTAGCAGTGTGTTGTTCCCTCTATCTTTTCTCTTTTAGCATGCATGCTTTTACACACACACATACACACACACACACACACACACACACACAGTCACACAACGAGTATTACTCTCATGTGACTGCAAATGATTATTTTTAGGATCAAAATATATCTTAACAAGCTGTAGAATTATGCAGTAAACAGATGGCCCTTGGGGAGGACACATACTGCTTTGGAATAATGTGTATTTTTAGCAGAACAATTTGAGCATCACTGGAAAAAATGTTCTGGGCATTCTTACTCCTCGATGGGGGAGTCTGGGGCCAGGGAGTGGGCTGGCGGCAGAATGTTGCAGAGAGGAGTGGGAGGCAGAGAGCCCGACCCATTCAGACGCTCTGATCCCTCATTTCCCCTGTGGCTAATGGTGATGTTTTTGTCTTCCCTTCCTCATGTCTTGTTAGGAAAGCCCAGTAGTTTCTTTCCAGAGGACAGTTTTATAGACTCTGGAGAAATCGACGTGGGAAGACGGGCTTCCCAGAAGATTCCTCCTGGCACTTTCTGGAGATCTCAGGTGTTCATAGACCACCCTGTGCATCTGAAATTCAATGTGTCTCTGGGAAAGGCGGCTCTGGTTGGCATTTATGGCAGAAAAGGCCTTCCTCCTTCGCACACACAGGTAACCAGAACCCCACATGCCCTGCTGATCTCCAAGGGTTCCCTCCTCAAATCTTAACCCAAAGTCAAGAAGCCTAATGCTTAAGCCTGGATCCTTGAGCTTGAAGGGAATTTCATGTATTTTATAGCCCATTCATCCGTTTGCCCTCTCTCAGACCTTACCTTTGAGAGGAGTAGGGTTGTATCCTTGGGACTTTTTAAGAGGAAGGAATTCTAGGAAATCTCTCAGTAGCCCTTTAAAAATTATCCAAGAAATGTAATCCAGGGGACAAAAAGCATGCACTTTGGTGTCAGAGAGGCCTGGGTTTGAATCCTCTCGTTACCAGCTGTATAACCTCAAGCCTGTAACTTATCCTTTCCGGGCAAGTTTCCTAACCTAGCAAATGGGAATAACTACCCCCGCTTCACAGGGCTAAGGCAGCTTGTGTGGGACTTGGCTCGGAATACATTACCCCGCTAGTCTCTTGCATCCCTTCTCTCCTTCAGGGTTTCACATTGACTCAAACACATGGGCACTAGAAACACTTGAAAAATTCATCCCGGATGATTGACACATGACCAGTCCTGGTGGGTGAAGAACAAACTTGTTTGAGGTGCTCCTAGCCCTGGGATTGGAGTAACATAAATCACAGGCCCCCATCAGACACTCCCTGGCCAAATGCAGTCTTTCTAGCCCCAATAGTTGCTTAATTTTAGGCAAAAGCTAGATAAATACATTTGCTAAGCATGGAGTTGCAGAAGTCTAGAGAGAGCCTGGGCCCCGATTTCTTCATAGAATCGCAACGCTGATCCTGGACTTCATACCTCCAGACATTTTCACATGAAACAGAGTAAGTATTATTTTAAGATAGATAGACAAGTAAATAGTTGCTCAATTTGCTTGCTAGTAGGCCAGTAGGACGTAACCACCTGCCTGTTGTTAACACTGTGTGACTGACTGCTCTCCAGTCTCTCACATCAGCAGGCTTGGATCAATAGGCACTTGGATTTGACACTGTGTAATTATTGATAAATGAGTTTTGAGCTAATCCAGTTTAGCTTCCCTAAACTGCTCCCTGAAACTGGAGCATTTAGAAGGGCTCATTGACAAAAGGACGACAGCTATAAATCATACCTTCATTGGCACTTAACTGACATTTAAGGCACATGCAGTGCTCCAGTCCCCATCCTAGACGCCCGGGATTCCCACTGTCGTGTTCACAGAGCTGGCGTTCAAACAGTCCTGAAATGGCTGGGTTTTTAATCACATGCCCGCCACTGGGAAAGCATGGTTGTCCCAGTACAAACTCAGCAGGTGAGGACTCACCACACATGCCCAAAATTAAAGCAAAGTGAGACTTTAATCCACTGATTATGCTGCACTCACAAGAGAATCAGGAGACTATCACCATGAGAAAAACAGGGTCTGCGGAGGAGTTGGAGTTGGTTGGTCAGTCTTTGCGTAGCTTCAGCGTCCTCTCCGGGTTGTGTTTCCCGTGGCCTCCCTGGGAGAAGCTCAAAGAGTCTAGCATCGTGGTGCAGCAGATCCACTGCTAATCATGCTCTCTCTGTCCTTCAGTTTGACTTTGTGGAGCTGCTGGATGGAAGGAGGCTTCTGACCCAGGAGGCACGGAGCCTGGAGGGACCCCAGCGCCAGTCTCGGGGAGTTGTGCCCCCCTCTAGCCATGAGACCGGCTTCATCCAGTATTTGGATTCAGGAATCTGGCACCTGGCTTTTTACAATGATGGGAAGGAGTCTGAAGTGGTTTCTTTTCTCACCACTGCCATTGGTAAGGAACTGCCACCCCTTTGGGTCTGTGGGACATTGTCCTCTTGAGTGAGAGGGACTTGGGGGTCCTGGGGGCTGTGGCTGACAAGGAGATATATCTTGCTTTTGCTCAAAGCTGCAGATGCCACCTGGAGTCCAGTGTGAGGCCATCCTGACTGGGCTTGCTGAACCAGGGATGGGACGGAGATGCAGGGAAAGGAGGGAAGGGAGGGACAGGAGGGGCTGGAAGGCCATGCTGGGCTGGATCTTGAGCCCAGCGCTGTTGCCAGCTGCCTTTCTTGTGTTATCTGTGGCCTGCTATGTAGACCAGCAGCTACATTTGAAGAGCAAGGAGTGAGACGGACAAGACAGGAATCCTGGATGACAAGCCACATCTCTTTTCTTGTCACTTCTTTCCAACACCTATACTTGTTTCTAAAGTCTCCCTTGAGTCAACTCGCCGATTTGTTACTAGGGTTTTGGGGGGTTTTGTGTGTTTTTACTTGCTTGTTAGCTTTGCTTTTGGAGCCAACAGCTCCTGGCAGATGAGAACAGAAGATAAAGGCGTGGAGAGAGTGAGAATAGCAGGGTAAAAGGGCTGGATGAACAGTGTGACCAGGCAGATTGGGGTTTTGCTGAGAACAGAGGGGTCCTGAGCTCTGGTGGACAGCAAGCCTCAATGTTTTAAATGAGAGCTCTGCACCTTTGCGTCCCTCATAGTGGAAGAGCTTTCAGTTCAGAGGGAGCCCCTTGACCACCTCCCAAGCCTGTGGGTGTCCAGGGAGCCTGGCATCCTGTTCTAAGGAATCTCTCTTTTTTACCCACATGTTGCACAAATGTGTCTTCTCCTGAGCTCACTGCAGTGTGTGGTAGGTAGGTTGTGGTGGTCTCAGTGGTTCTGGTCAGAAAACATTTTTTTTCTGAGTTTATATTGGAAGCACAATGGCATAGCCTGGAGATAAAATCCCCTACGGGAAAGTAAAACTTAGAAAAAGATGAAACTCCACTGACCAGAATGCTTGGAAGTGGGTTTTCTGCTTAAGGAAAAGCCCTGTGTGGTTTTGAGTTCATCTCAAAACTCTGTCTTGGTCCTTGGCTGGGAGGCTCTCTGACATGGAAAATGGAGTAGAATAAAAACCCCCGAATCTGGTCCTTCGTCCCTAAAACTCTTGCAGGACCCTGGTCCTTCCTTCTAAACAACAGTAGTCGTTTTCAGGCCATTTTCCTCTTATTTGCGATTCTGCCCTTAGCATTGAGGGGGAGAATCCCTTCCCATTAAACCTGGGGCATGATGTACAATCTTCTGCGGTGACTGCAGGCTCAGTGTCCTGCTGTCTTGGCAAAATGAGGGCGATGGGGGCCGTCGGGCTACATCAGCTCTGACGAAGGAAATGTCACTGTGTGCTGTCCTTGCTTTGGAAGTGTCTGTCCCAGCTGCTGGTCTCTGAGTACCTGGAAAGCAGGGACTTGGGCAGAATCTTCTCCACCCCTCAGCACCCAGCCCAGTCCCCAGCATACTGTGTCACTCAGTTAACAGGGGCGTGAGTGTGGGCGTGGCCTCTCCACTGCTCAGCCCCCAACCCGCAGGACTGTCAGCGTCACAGTCTTGGCAGGGACAGTGCTGTTGGTTTCCTCCCTTAATGCCTTCTATTGAGGTAGAGTGGAAAGTATGCTCCCTTCTGAATCTCGGCCACTAATTTGTGTTTTGGCCCTGCACAAATTGCTTAAGTTTTCCAGCTCTTGATTCCTTGAGATTCTGGAATTTGAGGCTGCAGTTCGGTGGTTAGCAGTGACCTGGAGGCTGTGGGTGCAGCCGTGTGTCCTGTCATGGGAGAGCCAGCTCCCATCCTCACCATCAATTAGGCTGACACTCGGCAGGGTCTGCCAGGCCCCAGACCTCTTGTTTCTTTTCTCTTTCTGGACATGTTGGCTTCAACTTAGGGACATGATTATCAAGCCATTAGTGGTGCCTGAGTTACAGCTTCATGGGCTCACAGCTTGATTTCTCTTAGGTGTGGTTCAAGAGAGGCAGAGTATCATGCTTGCCCAGAACTAAGGTCTCTCACAGTCAGAATTCTGTATTTTTAATAACTGAGCACAAATATGAAAGGATATTAATACAAACCCCCAAAGAAGCTACTTTTAATTAGGATGTGCCTCTCAGAGAAATAAAATGTGTGTTCAGTTAGGTACCTTTGCCAACTCCTGGCTTGTTGGAGCTTGCTGACCTATTTTGTCATAATTAAGGAGATGGTCTTGCTTTTCCCCCTGGTTCTCCTGTTCTCACCTAAGTGATGAAATCTGTCCTCACTTCCCTTAACCCTGTAATGTTGGCTGTACCGTCCTTCTCAGAGTTTTATGAACCCCCTGGCATCGTGTTAAAATGCTGATTCTGCTTCAGTCAGTCTGGGTGGGTCCTTAGATTCTGCTGCCAGTGAGATGCTGCTCACCTGTGGCCCACAATGTGAGTAACAAGGGGTGATGGTAGCTTATGGGGGCGTCTTAAATATTGAACCAGGGGATCACCTGGGAAGCAAGGCTACTATGCAGATTCCTGGGCCTTTTCCCAGCGGGCTGGAGGTGGAGCCCAAGTGATCCTGATTCTGGTGGTCAATCTGTCAGCTAAGCTTTGAAAACAAATGCCTTCTGAGCATCACTTTCCATTCCTTCCTTCCCTCACTGTCCCATGTTAGCACTGCAGTCATAGTCAGTCGTGTCCCCTCTCTGAGCCTCTCTTTTCTTATCTAGAAATTGAAATGGTAATGGTACTTGGCAGTCCACATTGTGAAGAGGGAGAGAATGGATACAAAGTGCCCAGCTTGGGCTTTGATACGTGGAAGTTGTTGATATTCCTTCCCATCCTCTTTCCCCATCCACCTTTCTCTCGCTGCCTTTCGTGACTTGTCTTTCTTTCTTCAGGCTACGGTGATTGTTTAATGAATACCTTTTTTTTCTCTTCAATACAAAAACAGACTGACGCTGATGTTGCTATTAATCCCTCTCTCCCCGAGAGTCCCTGGCATTGAGTCTCAGCTGTCTGTGGTCGTTACCTGTGAGCTATGAGTTGTAATTTGTCTTGGCAGGTTAATTAAAAGTTTAGGTCTTGTTTTAGTGAAGTCATTATGGTCCCAATATACAATTGTAACTCTCAGGTTTGCTTAACACAGAAACTGGAATATGACCCTCCCTTCATTACATGTTGAAATGCAGGGCTAGAATTTGAGAAGATCTGAGATGTCAGAATCTAGAGTATTTATGTCTGTTTGTAATTAAGTAACGGGAGAAATAATTGTGTTTAATTTAACGAATGGCTATATTGTGTACGTTTTTGCCTTTCCCTTGATTTAATGCAACCCAGCTGATGATTTTAAATTACAAGAGTTTATCTTTTCCCTGGAAAGACTCTAAAAGCCCTTTACAGACTGTATACACACATATATACATATACATGGAGGCTTGCTGTTGACAGAGCTCCCTTTTGAACGTAGATGCATTTTCTCTCTCACACTCACGTGCATATGCACACATACACACCACTGAAACCCAGCAAGTTTTAGAATAAAACATGGCAGCTGTTTTCAGAAAGAATGGTCTTTCCCCCAAGTGTGGAGATCGAAAATTTGAAGGTAATTTTTTGGGGGGTTGGCTCCATTTGAGGGTAGGTAACCTTGCTGATCCCAAGTCTTGAATGAAGTGGGAGAATGTCTACCAGTAGCTAAAATATAATTCACCATTGCCATTTACTCAGGACTTTAAACACATTCTCTAAGCCTTGCAGTAACTCCACAAGGTGATTATTCTTGTTTTTGTTATCACCCCTTATTGCAGATGAGGAAATTGAGGTTCAGGGATGTTAAGAGAGAAGGTAAGACTTGAATTTGTATCTGTCTGACTCCAGAAGTTCGTGGTCTTCCTTCTTTAGCCATTTGCTTCCTTTCCAGGACCAAGCCCTGTTTTTCTGGATATTGGATTTACTTTTGTTTTCCATGTATTCATTCATTCAATGGACCTTTAGAGAGTGCCTACTCTTTGTGCTGGGGACAGACCATGCTTGGCTCCTTTCTGTACATAAGAAAGAACCTTAGACAATACATATTTTGAGCTCAGCTTCACAGAAGAAAACATTAAGACTCAGAGAATTTAACTGACTTGCCCAAAGTCACACAGTTAGTGAGAGTAGAGCTAGGATGGAAACGTGGTCTCCAAATGCCATGCTCTCCCCACTCTGCCACAGTGTCTTACTGTTGGCTCTGATACTATTAAGTATCTTATTTCTAGTTGTATTATATGGAATATAATTTCCCCTTTATTAATGTGCATCCAAAATAAATAAGCATCTTAAATCAACCCAGGAAGTTTCCTTGAGAAGCCATTCAAAAGACCATGAAAAAAAAATCTCACAGCATCCAGAACTTTAAAAATAAAAATATCTTTGTATGCATCGCTTGCAACCCCAAGGCCCAACGAGTCAGCATTGCAGTGTTTTGGGTCTCCAGGTAACATCTCTTTTAATTTCGGTTGATGCTGAAGTATCAAACGGCAGATCACCCTGACATTTGGCAGTGTGAACCAAGTTGGAAAATCACAGAGTTGCCCCATGGTGGGTTTAGAAACCCATAGAAAAGAAATGAGAATCATCTTTAGGAAACACGGACCCTGGTAATTTTATGAGAAACATGCCCTGGTCTTCCAGGTCTGAGGACAGTCATGCTAATTAAAGAGAAGAGTCCTTTTGTTCATGCCCAGGCAGCTGCCGTTAGATCGACCTATTCTGTGTCCAGGGACTAGGAGCGGGTTTAGTCCCTCCCTCCTTCCTTCTTTCTTTCCTTCTTTTATCCCACAAATATTGCATTCTTTCTCTTTCCCAAGTTGGAGGTCCAGAGAAGGTATAACACAGTTTCTGGCAAGATTAGCTCATCATCTTGATTAAGGAGCTGAAGCATTTATGTAGTAAGTACCACTAATCCAAGGAAAAGAGGAAGAGAGGTCATTCTTGGAGTCACTGGTCCAAGTGCTGTGCGG